ACACCCCCCCCCTTTAAATATATTCTGGTCTCTCTTACTAGCAGCGTACATTTCTCTTAGCAGTAATCTGCATTTCAAGTTCCAAGATTACAGTTCCAAAATTATGGTGTACACTGCATTTCAGGATTAAAGATTGCTAAAACTGCTGATTTTTTTTGTTTTTATCAGGATCTGATATTGAACTCTACTACAAATTGGAGAAAATATCCTATTAGTCACTTTGATTAAAATAATTTCAGCAACCATTTCTAAGGTAACTTATTTTCAGACAGTTGTCTATTAAATAAGTGTCAAACCATTTTCTGCCCCGCCTCATCAAACATTCTTCCATATTTTCAACAGGTGCATTGCCCAGTCGCTTCTCTTTTCTGTGTTGGATCAAGTTATTTCTATTTATTATACATTTAAAATAGGTCATACTGCTATTCTGCTTGAGATTCTTAGGTATTTTCATTATATAAGTTCATCATACATACCTTGTACCTATTCTGCAAATGTATCTTTGAAAAGAAAAAAAGCTTTTCTCAGACTTGTAGCCAGAATTCTTTTAATAAACCAGGATATCTGAAGAACCATCTCACCCCAAGGGGATAGGCTTCCCTATTCATTCTAGCATGGGGTGGGCAGCTATGCAACTTTACAACTTGTGGACATCAACTCCCAGAATTCTTAAGCCAGCCATGGGAGTTGAAGTCCACGGTTATAAAGTTGCCATAGTTGCCCACTCCTGTTTTAGCAGAAGGGGACCAACTGCACACTCCATCAGCCAAGGAATTTCAGCCGTGAAGTCTAGATAGGAGAGACTTTTCTGCTGTGGCCTCTGCCCTTTGGAACATCTTGCCAGTGGAGATGAGTTTCACTCCCCTCAATCCTTCTGCCTCTCTAGAAAGACCTTAAAACTTGGTTCTGCTAGTTGGCTTGGGGATGCTCTAGGCTAAAGGTGGTTAGTGCAGTGACGGAGAAGACACTACTTCATCCCCCCATTTTTTGCCTGTATTTAACTCTTGTAATTTTAAATGGTCTTTTATATGTATTGTATTGTAGGCCACCCAGAGTCACATTGGAGGGTGATATGAGCAGCATATAAATTTAATAAGAAATTTTAAAGGAGGGGACCCATTCTGATTTGTCATAGATGAAAGATGATTTTAACTCCAATTTTAAATATTTTCTTTTACAAGGGAGCCATTATTTGTTTTTTAAAAAAAGAAATCGTCTCTAGGGATACAAGCACGAGAGAATGACAATGTTTTCTAGGGTGGGGATGGGGGTGACGGAACGGGACTCAAAGCTGATTATACTTGCCTCGTTTATTTTTCTGTGTTGGTAATTTTACAGAAAACTAAACAAGTTAGTCCTGGAGAAATGAATGTTAGCCCCTTTTTTTGGGGGGGGGGGAAATCAATTCTGCCATAAATTGCCGGATTGTAAATGAATTTCAGTAGGGTGATGCTAGACTCAGGGCCACTATATGGGTTGAGGGCCACATGCAACTCTTAAATGATACTATTCCTATCTTTTGAACATATAAATAGGGAGGGACTTCTATATGATTTCACTGAAAATCATGGGCATGCTTGTTAATCTTTGTATTACCAACACAAGCTACTATTACTAGGAGCTCAAGACATTTTGCTATGTGAGACAGTGGACAGAAAGGTGTTCCTCTGCTAAATATATACTAACAGCTTAACTTTACCTTCAACACTGGCAGTAGAATTGTGTCCTTCACTCTACTCGAGAAGGGTGTACTAGTTTGATGGCATAAGCCCCTCCTCCCCTTTTGTCATTCAGTACCTTTCCACTTCATTTCTCCATACGCCAATGTGTATCATATGGTCATGCTTCACATTCATTGATTAAAATTGTCCTTTTTGCTTACTTGGTTAGGTGTTTGGTTGGTGTTTTGTTCAGCCATACTGCCTGAGATATTGGTAATGCAAGCCTCTAGATCAGAGGTGGGTTCCTACCAGTTCGTACCAGTTCGGTAGAACCAGTTCGTCAAATTTTTGAAACCCACCACTGACGCAGACAGACAGACTGACTCACACAGAGAAAGAGAAAAAAAGGAAGAAAGAAAGAAATAAAAAGAGAGATAAAAAAAAGAGAAAAAGGGACAGAGAGACAAAAGGAAGGAGAGAGAGAAAACACACATGGCCAGCAAGCCACTCCCACAAAGGAGGCCATACCCACAGAGTAGGTTCGAAAATATTTTGAAACCCACTACTGCTCTAGCTTCTTGCTACCCGGGCTAGCAATGTGCAAGCAGCAGTACTAGCTCTGAAAGATGGGAATGCTCATAGAACAGAGAAGCTAGGGTTAGGAGAGTCAAGTGGAGTTGAAGATACTGCTGTAATGCCTCCCTGCATCTTTTGTCTGAGGTAGGTACCTCACTGTCTAATGGCTGGCCTGGCCTCTCTATAAATGGGGATTCAAGATCTATGTATGATTGATGATCCCTCTTTAGAATTTTGGAGCACTTCCATGCAACTGCTATCCTAGAGCACACTCCAATATAATGGGATCATCCTTCTCGGACCAAGAATCAACAGGATCAGAGAGATCAGTGATGTAATTCTCCCTGGCAGAGCAGATTAGCAGCTTTCTGAAAACTAGGTAAACTGGCAAAGGCAAGCACCAGTGGAACTAATGGAAACGGAGGGATCCAGAATCTGTGGTCCTTTGTGTACCAGATAGAGACAGAAGCATAATCAGAACATTTCATATATAAGAAGAACAAATTATAGAAAACAGTTTCTGGAATTATATATTATTTAATTTCAAAATGAAATTGTTTTCTTCTTCATGCCATGCCATGATGCTGCAGACTGCAAACCTATGAGCATTTAAAAAATTGATTATACTTACATTCTAAGAATATGTTTGGTTGAAGAGCAAGATAAATCCTTACCAACTAACTAAAATAAGTAAATAAAGCAAGCCAGTAGAGGACATTTTTGTGAAAAAAGCACTATTATATCATTTTAGAAGATAGGAATATGTAGAATGGTAAATCCACAAAATTATAAACAATATTGATTAAAACTGGAGACATCTAACAACATGCATGTGAGATTTATAGCCACTGTATAGCCCAATGACTAGTTACATAAAATACATATACGCAAAATACATACAACATATTTGAAGCAGTAAACAGCCCATTGTTAATTGGATAAAATAGCAAATTGCTGCATCTTTAGTCATGCCCATCTTATGAACTTTCTTAAAGTACCTGGTTGACTATTGCCCAGCTAACCACCTATGACAAATCCAATAGATAATAAATATTCTGTAGGGTTTTACGACTGCAATGATTATTTTACATAACTGTGTAACAATTTCACAAGCAGGCTATCAAAACGTGTCCAGCCATCTTCACAGATGGAATCCTAAAATGTGTAAAATCTTTGACCTAACCTGACAAAGAGAAGCCAGCTAACTATATGATCCAAGTTTCACTATGAGTTCCATTTGAAAAGGCTCCAGAAGGTTGTGCAGTTGACTGCAACAACCAAAACTAGATGGGAAAGATGTCCAGTACCTAGTAAAAGATGATTTGATTTTGCTACAAACATATTAATTTATTGCAATCTTTTAGTTACAAACTTCTGTCTTAAGCACATAGGGCTTTAATAGTTAACATATGTGAAATCTCACTCCTTGTATTGAAAATAGACTTCGGAATAGTCCCTTGCATATCCGATAATATTTTTTTAAGGATCCTAAATATTGTCATACATGTTGCAAACAAATCCGAGAGGAAAATTTACCCTTATAAATATATTTTATCAACCACTATGCGACGCACATATACTGCTTTATTCCACACCCATCACCTCTTGCTCCAAAAAAACCCCGAACTTTCGCTGCAGTCTGTCATTTATTCGGCCTTAAACACGGGTTGGAGATCGCGTACACTGCCTTGTGGAACTTAAACTACAATTCCCATGATCCCAGACGCCAAAGGAAGTTGCCCCGCCTCTGGTCTTTCGGGAAGAGCGAAGAGAAACGTCGTGACGTATTATTATTGCGCCCGACAGGTGAAGGTGACGAGGTTAGGAGCTGCAGCAGGGGAGACCCCCCCTTCGCTCTCCGCTATGTTGGGGGCTCAGACCTTGCGCCTCCGTCCGATTTGCACCCAGGCTCGCTTTTTTTCCGCCGCCGCTGCTCCGGAATCGGTGACTTCTACTTGCTCTTCTTTTATTTCTTTTTCAACAAGGGAAAGGGGAGAAGGGATGGGGACTTATACAACTGCAGCAGTGGTTCTCAGCTAGCTTGCCACAGCGCATAGGCATGCCATGGGCTTGTTTCTAGTGTGCCTCGAGATTTTTGTCTTATGTTATTTTTTTCTTCTTTTTGTGCTGGGCGTATTCTGTGTGATCCGTATATGCAGCACAGTGCAGATATTAGTATAATAGTTTTAACTTCTTAAAACATGTCTTATACCTTTAAAAATATTATATGCTTTTCATAATTTTCCGGTGTGCCACAGAACTACCATTATGTTCAATGTTGTGCTGCAGATTCAAAAACAGGATTGAACTAGAGGAATAAGGGAAGGGAGTATGGATGATGGAGATCTCCAAAGTCCTGCTTTTTGGACCTCATCGGTTCCTCCAGCATGCTTTTTAGTTATTTCTATGTTTAGCATGAACTCCTGTTTTAAAATATATATTCTTGGGGGAGAGTGAGAGTGCTTTTTCCTTGCATATAATGAAGATGGCTCAGTTTCTGTGCTTAGCTTTTGGAAAGAGATATGTTTGCCCCTTTCGTTTTCTTGCTTTTGTTCTATTTTTGTAGTATAACTATCAAAAACTATTAAAGCTATTTCTTTTTGTTTGACAGGCACCCCCAAAGAAAACTCAGTTTGGTCCGCTCAAAGATGAGGACCGCATTTTTACTAATCTTTATGGACGTCATGATTGGAGGTAAGAAACAAAAATGTAGAATATATTTTACTTGCTGACAGGAAAATACACAGTTTTCAAATCTTTTTTAGTTAGTGGGAAAAAAAGGTTATGAAGGAAATGGTGGCTTAAACATTTAACTAGTGTCTAAATTGTAGGCTGGCAAAAATATTTTTCTACTTATCTAACAGTTGTGGTTTATTTAAATACAACTGTAATTGTTTTAAATTTCTCTAGTTGTGTGTATTCATTGGTTGCTTGCAAAATTGCTATCTTGGCAATCAAATTTCTCTGCTGTTTTGGCACTGCACAATTTTGTGATTGTGCATTTATTTGTGCAGCTACTACTTTTTTCCCTTTACTATTATTGTAAAGGAAAAAAATGCCAGGATATTGTCATGTCCTGGTTTCTACTTCTTTGCCTAAAATAGAAAATAGAGAAGAAAAATCTGCAGTAATGTGCTTGGCGTCAGCATGACCATGGATAGAATTGGAAGTCTTACTCAACCCCACATCTTTCTGCTTCTTTTTAGTCTCTTCTGACTTTGGGGAGTGAATTAAGAAAAATAGAGATGAAAAGCTAAAGGAAAACCTATTTTTCTTGCATTTTCTTAGATGTTTACCATTGTTTTATAATAGCAAAGTGAAGGCTAATGCTTGTTAATTCTGTAACTATCGGTTTTCATACAGGGGCTAAGAGAATAAGCAATGAAACATGCAGTGTGATGCAAATTATGGCTTTTACTTACTTGTGCTACATATACCATAGGACAAGGCTCATGTCATGATATCACAATGCATGTTTTATCATTTTCTCATTATTGTGGTTAGAAATGAAGACTCACAACTCCATCTACAAGAGGAAGATATATTTCCTAGTTACAAACAATTCCAAATCCCATTGTATTTAGATACTGGACCTATTGGTACAACTCAAGATAGATTCAAAATGCTCTTGCCTCCTATTTTTCTATATTCTATATTAAGAACCCTTAATGTAGGGTGAGTTGGGCCAAGAGAGACCAACTGGGTCAAAATCATGATTAAATCATATTCATGCTGAAAGGAAGACTTGCAGCTTCCAAGTTTTTAGTCCAGTATCTTAACCACTACATTAAACTGTTATCATATTCTGAGATACCTGAACAACCCCAGATGGGAAAAGCAGCTCTAAATTTATTTACAAAATGGAGTTAATATGCATGACTTTTTCTTTTTTGTCTCTAGGTTGAAAGGGGCTTTGAGCCGAGGTGACTGGTATAAAACCAAGGAAATCCTGCTGAAGGGTGTTGATTGGATCTTGAATGAAATAAAGACTTCAGGCCTGAGAGGTCGTGGAGGAGCTGGCTTTCCAACTGGCCTCAAGTGGAGCTTTATGAATAAGCCTCCAGATGGCAGGTGTGGTACTAATTATGAACATTGTAGTTTCAAACGTTAGACTCTGATTGTCTTCTTATGCAGAACCAGTTTAAGCCATAATTTTTCCTTCTACTTTTGGGTTGGAATGCCATTTATTATTAATTAGAATTTGCGACTGTAGTTTCCATTTCAGTCTTTTATATTTAAAATTGTGCATCTCAACTTTGAAGAATGATTTATATCTATTTCAAAAGTTTTAAACCCATCTTTTCTTCTCTCTTTTTCAAAAAAAAGTTGTGTTCTCTAGAATGATTGGCTCTGTGAAGCAGCCAGATTTATAGACTTCTTATCCAGAAGAGCTGCTATAAGGGGGATAGCTAGTTTGACTAGCTAGATAGATGGAGTGTGAGATTTGTACTTGGAAAAGTCAGCTTTAAATATCTCTGTGTGTGCTCTTATTCAAAATCCACCTCTTTTCAGTTTTGCTATATGGCTAAAATATTATCATTTCCTGTGGCTGCAGAAATACAAATATAGTTTCCTCAGTAATACTTAGGATGTATACTTGTATGCTCAGGTTTCCTAAGCCTTGATTTCCTTGCGGCTGAAGTTGGACACTATGATCATTGACTGAGTGAAGATCCTGACTGGATAGATTAGTTATGTAGACTGTAAACGTTAATAGATTAGATAGCATTACTAACTGGAGCGCATACTGCTGGAGAGGCTTTTCTTCTTGTTGATGAATGTAATTATTTCTGTGTTTCAGGCCTAAGTACTTGGTAGTGAATGCAGATGAAGGGGAACCAGGCACTTGTAAGGATCGGGAGATTATGCGTCATGATCCCCATAAGCTAATAGAGGGCTGCCTAGTCGCAGGAAGATCTATGGGGGCTCGAGCTGCCTATATCTATATACGTGGAGAGTTCTACAATGAAGCATCAAATTTGCAGGTAAGCTGCTGTCTCTTGTGGTTACCTTAATTTTGTCTGCTTGATTGCCTTTTTTATGGTCAGAAATCAAGGTCACTGGTGTTTGGGCTTTGGCTGTAGTAATTAATGCTATCTTCCTTTATTAGGTGGCAATTAAGGAGGCCTATGAAGCAGGACTGGTGGGCAAGGATGCTTGTGGCTCTGGCTACGACTTTGATGTCTTTGTAGCAAGAGGGGCAGGTGCCTATATTTGTGGTGAAGAGACTGCACTTATTGAATCCCTTGAGGGCAAACAGGGCAAACCCCGCCTCAAGCCTCCTTTCCCTGCAGATGTAGGTAAGGCATTTTAAATGCTCCTTCTACGTATGTGTGTGTATGTGTGTTAATTTTTAATATGCTTCCTCAAGTCAACATGAGACTCTCATTGTCTATCTATATATAAGGCCATCAACATACTTTTTTTAGCCTAAAATAACTTTTAAGTCCCTACCAAATATCCCATTAATAGTACTAAAACTCCCGTTTTAATTATTCTTGTGCCCATTCTCCTTTTTTCATCTTAAGATTGTTCAGAAACGTTATTCGTGTTAACCCATTTTCTTTCTTTCTCTAGGGGTGTTTGGGTGCCCTACCACAGTGGCAAATGTGGAAACAGTTGCGGTAGCACCTACAATCTGCCGTCGAGGAGGTACCTGGTTTGCTGGCTTTGGACGTGAGCGTAACTCTGGCACTAAGCTCTTCAATATCTCAGGCCACGTCAATAACCCTTGTACTGTGGAAGAGGAGATGTCAATACCATTGCGTGATTTAATTGAACGACATGCAGGTGAGAGTGACTTATTCATCTTAAAGAATGTCACTTTAATTTAGATACCTGTATTAGTGGCATCAGCTTTTTAGTTCCTTTTGTTCTTCTTGTATGTTGACCTGATCCAATCATCTAAAGAGCCAGGCCTCATGGTGTGTTTCTGCCTTCTGATTAGGCGGCATTAGAGGTGGCTGGGATAACTTGCTCGCTGTGATTCCTGGGGGTTCTTCAACTCCGCTCATCCCCAAGTCAGTATGTGAGACAGTTCTGATGGACTTCGATGCCTTAGTGGAGGCACAGACTGGGCTTGGGACAGCAGCTCTCATTGTCATGGACAAATCGGTAAGCAATGTTCCCTAGAGTTAATTCTCTGGGTTTTGCATATGACGCATCTTCATTTTCTTCTCTTTCTCTCCAGACAGATATAGTTCGAGCCATTGCCCGCCTAATTGAATTTTACAAGCACGAAAGTTGTGGGCAGTGCACACCTTGCCGAGAAGGTGAGTGTTCTTATTCAAACCTTTTCGTTTATAAAATATTTTATTCAATTTTCACATTCCATTTGCAATCATT